TGGTAGTACAGCTTGACTCTGGCATAATCTGCCAAATTTCTTTAGAGGGGGAGGCTGAAGACTTTTGACATCCCATTCCTCTGCAGGAGAATTACCAAGAAGGGCAAACAGGAACAATTAGCAGATAGGTGGGGTTGAGGAAACAAGTATCCTTGACTTTAAGGCTGGAAGAGAAATTTATTTGTCCTGCAGTCCATTTTTCTTGATATTATTCATCCTGCTGATTTTGGAGTTGTTTTCTTCCATAGCTATTCTGCCTTACAAGTAGGGAACCACCCGAGTTTTCAGAAGGCAAGCTTCTAGGTCTGTTCTTTTGCCTCCCAATCTACATTTTCAAGTGGATTGCATTTCAAACACTTTTATAGGTTTGTCCTTCCCTTCTCCACTTTTCAAAAGATTTTTTAAAATTTTATTTCTGCAAAAACGTGATTTTTTCAAGAGAAAAATCTGTTAATAAAAGTTCAAAAGTAGATTTCTGTGAGCCTTTGGAAAGATGCACTAGATTGCAACACAAAGAAAGGGGATTATAGAAAAGAAAGCTGAGAATGTCTTGGAGATTTTGAGAAACGTGAGAAAAGTTGACAAAGATGCTTGGGAAAAGGTGGTAAAAAGCCTTTGTTACTTTTGGTCAGCTTATTAACAGCAAAAACAAAGAGCAGAAGTATTGTATCTTATCAAATGGACAGAAATTTCCTATGTAACTATCAATAATTATATATTCTATGGTATTGTTCTACATGGTATTTGTAAGACACAAAACAAAATAAAAGAGCCTAAAATTAGCATCGGGCCCCAGAATGACATTAGCAACTATTATATCAAAAGCCTCTTTCTCCACAAAAATATGAGCCATTTTCCATTGCATTAATTTAATATTCATAATTATAAGGTCAAAGATAACATACAATCTTGTGCCCCACCCTCACAATAATATTTACAGTACTGGAATTATGTTAATGCTGCAGTATTATACCAGCATACGGTAATCATTTATTCAGCATGGGTAGGGTCCTATATAATGACACGTCCTAAGATCAAGCCATTAGCAAGATAACTCAACTATGAAGAAAGATAAAAATGCATACTTCCTCAACTGGAAAGGTAATGTGATTTCAAGTGGTGCTCCTTTGAAGCTGTGTTGTTGTCCAAGAACAAACTGAGCCACTTGGTTGTTTACAACCACTTTCTGTATTGTTAGGTCTTTGGTGTCCAAAACCTGTTAAATAAATCTGAGTTACTTAACAAATAAATGTTTTAACATAATGAAAAGGTTCTTGAAATATAAAACTTTTAATTATAAAACTAAGTATTTACACTACTTTGGCACAAAAGATAAGGGTTACAAAATACTTCATTACTCATTCTCCACTGTTTTTTAAAAGAGCCAAATTTATGCATATTTGCAATGTTAGGTAAGCTCAAGCCTTAAGTGTGGTATAAGCATTTTTTATAAGACTATATAATCACTGCTACTCTCTGGCCCATTTTATCCTTTTTTTTTAATTAAAAAAGAATAAAACATGATTCAGACTAGTGCAATTTAAGTTCCAATTTTTTTAACTTGTGGGATAAGCTGCAAAGGGGAACATAATTTCACAATATTACCAACAATAACAGATGAGGACATTCAAAAATTATTTGGAGACTTTATTCTGGCTAAGATACAACACATTTTTGTGGGTAAAGAGTCACCTTTTGGAAGAAAAGGTCAGGATTTTATATACAATCTAGAGTAAAACATGAGCCTGTATTTTTACATTTCCTACTGTTTTGTGCTACACATATCTCAGAAACTGACACGCAAGCCCTACATTCTGTTCCAAGAAAACTGGCTGGGAATTTTGTTTACAGCTTAGAAGCAGGGTTAGGCAAAGATCCATCCTGAAGACTATTCCCCACAGCAATGGGAGAACAATCCCACATTTGTTCATCAAGAAGTATACTTTGACCTAGCAGAAAGTCCTTCAAGGATTATGCTTTTGCAAGCACAACATCTGCTATCAGGGAGATAAAATGCAACTTCCAAGGAGACTGAAAACGTGATTAGTGCTTGCTCAGCACATTCACAGCATTAATGTAATTTCTGTATTATCCTTTAATGGTATTTTGAGTGTGAGCCATCGTGCATGGTCACCCCACCTCCTCCACACCCCCTTTAAGAAAAAAGATCAAAGGACTGCCCCAACTTCACCCAGTAAGTAGCACTGACACCACATCCCCCATGTAAGGAAATTATTTTAATTCAACTGCTTAAAATAGAAGCCAAAGAAAACCTTACACCCAATCACTGCATGTTTACTCAAGGAGCAAAAGCACTCCGTCAATAATTACTCAAGAGAGCTTTCCGACTCAAGGCACTTCAAGAAGAGGAAAAGGTAAGAGGAGGATGGGGTGATCACCATCAGTCTTATTCCCCTCCTGCGGTTCGACTTCAGAACCGCGAATTCCCGGGGAATTCCGAACGCTGAAGCCTAACCCAGCGCGAGAGCCGCGGGCTTCCCGCGGATCGACCCCCGCCCCTCGAGCCCACTTCGACCCCCAGCGCCCCGTGGCTGCCAGCGAGAGGGACGGCGTTACCAGGGAACGCAGGTTGTCGCGTTCCAACCGCACGGTGAGGGCCGCGGTGCCCCGTAGCGATCGGCTCTCGAAGTCCACTCGGCAGCGCAAGTAGAGATGGTGAGCGCGACAAGCATCAGGAGCAGCAAAGGAACTCGGGTCTGCGTCAGCCATGGCTCCAATTCACATCCATCCACACACTCGCTGGCTTCGGCGACGCTCACGATTTAATAAAGTCCTAGGACCGCCTTGTGCGTTGTAGGCCCCACCCCATTGTAGGTTGGCTCCAGGAGGACTCTGGGAGTTATAGTTCTTCACGAGATCCCGAGCTCATGCAAGCATGGGAAATAGACTGCTACTCCCGTGATACACGACGGCTGAACGGCTTCGGGATATTGATCAAGTAATCTATTAACCTATTACAAGTCACGAAACTTCAAGGAGAGCAATTTAAATAGACAGAAAGAAACCCCTCGCTAAGTGCTTCCTCGTTAGTATAGTGGTAAGTATCCCCGCCTGTCACGCGGGAGACCGGGGTTCGATTCCCCGACGGGGAGATATGGCTTTTTCTTGTATGTCTGCAAAAGTTTTAATAGCAATCGAAATACATTTCCAGATGGAAATGATGCGTATTTTACACGTTCACAGCAACAACCAATAGGTCACCTAATTTACTGACGTTCAGTATTTATGCCAATATGAAAGCAGTGTACGAAGCTTAAGATTCATACCTGCAGCGATGCTCTTCTTACAAGGGCCAATTCATCTCTAAGTCAGCCAATTAAAAGTTTAAAGAAGAGTATTGCCAAGCAATGTGCTAATTACAGCTTTTCAGAAATAATGTAAGGAACTTACTGTGACTGTTTTAATTGGGGAACACATTCACAAATTCTGAAAGCTGATGGTGGATGAGATTTCAGCCTCGGATACAAAACACACACTCAGGTCTTTGCTGGAAGCCTTTCTCTTTGTCCGCTATACAGTATTTATTTTGTCTTGCTCTCCAGGATATCATTTTAACCCCTCTGAAGTCAAGAAGGTGGCGTGGCGTGGCGTGGCGTGGCGTGGCGTGGGGTGGGGTGGGCCAAACATTAGCTACTGCTTACCCAAGCAGCATAAACTGGTTTCTATTAGCTGTCAGAGGTCTATTTGCTCAGGACTATCAGACCCACCATGAAATGGCCTTCTGAACCAGCCTCAGGCTCTGCTTCTAAAACAGTTTGGGCTCTTACTCCTTTTCTGTCTGCCAAAACGTTTTTGCCCACCAGTAAGTTTTGTGCACCAGTTAATGATGTCTGCTTATTTTGGTTGTCTTGTACTCCCCCAGCTCCCCAAATTGGTTAGGGTAATTGATCAATGGTTGACAATTACCATATGAATTTATGTACCCACACTATAATCACAACAAGGATGTTGCACTAATCAATTACACCAATGGCAGGGGTAAACTTTTTGGATGTGAGGTTTTAACACTGGTGGGGGACAAAAAAGGAATAAGAACCACAGGTGGTTTAATGCATGTCTGCACAACAGTAATGTAGGTACTTCTGTGGAAGAAGCAGTAGTTATAAGATGGTCTTATCTCTCCTTTTTCTTCTGGAGTGTATATGTCTTCTAAGTGGTGGACAAGAGATATGTTGCACATTTAGTGCTGTAGTAATTATTATGATATGATTATGTGCCATCTAGTTGCTGTCAACTTGAGCACATAGATGGATTTTCTGCAGAACGATCTATCCCTACCCTGGTCCTTCAAGTTCTGCTACAGTGTATCCATTGCCACTGTAGTTGAGTCCATCCACCTTGCTGCTGGTCATCCTTTTCTTCTCTTTCCTTCCACCTTTCCAAGCATTAGGGCCTTTTCCAGAGAGCTGGGTCTTTGCATAATGTGCCTGAAGAATTTGAGCCTGGTCATTTGTTCCTCGAATGAGAACTCTGGGCTGACCAGAGTAAAGCCTGAGTAAAAAAACATGCTTGAATCCCAAATCATCCTCTCATCTCCAGCTAGATCAGCAGAATAGAGTAGTACTTGGGCACTTCTTCCTGATGCATAGTTTTGAAATGCTTAACTAGCAGCCTGAATTCAATATTGTGGCCCACAATCTAACAGCAAGCCCTTATTCATCTTCCAAGTCATATATTGGCTGAGTATATGCAACATGCTTAACCAGAATCAAACAGACCACATTTTGGCTTAGTATGTTGCACGAACCCAGTCATAATTCCTAATTTCACCCTGATTCAGCTCAGAGTCACTGCTCCATAGTGCTCGGGACTGAAGCTTGCAGTTGTCCTTGTATTTAGTCTCAAGGTACATTTTTAACTGTGAGTCCAAATGGATGCTCCCTGTGGTTATCCTAGCTTCCAATCCCTCTCAACCTAACACTCTTCACCTTCACCCATGTTTCCAATACCGCACAGTTGCTTTCTTCTTTGTTATAACTACTTTCCTATTTTGTGTTCCTAAAACTCTTGTCTGAAAAACTTAGGCATAGCTTTGTTTTTTTATGAAGCACCCATTGCTCTAATCTGAACGCATCAACCCCAACAGGTTTGCCACTCACTCTTGTCATAAAGGGAGCCAGTAGGCCTAATGTATAAACTGTATAATCCCATGTTGGCCACAAAAGAGTGGCAGGTTTGTCTACCTGGCACGCAAGGTCCAATCAACACACCCAGTCAGGGAATCCTTATATTCTTTTTATTGAAGTTCCTTCAATAAAGCAAGGAGAGGAACCTCAAGTAAAGTTTTACATCAATCTTTATACTGTTAAAAAATAGAGAAGTAGGTATGGAAAAACTTGATTGGTTACATTGTTGCACAGATGCACTCAATTCCATGTTACATACTAACATCCCATAATAAGCTTAGCATGCTCTATGTTTTCTAAAATTTCTACCTTAGCAGTGTGCATTTTACTATGTAAATTAGCTTTAGATTACACTAGGGTTGCAGTTCGTCTCAAAGCAGGGTCACTCAGTGGTTTCTGGATATCTCAAAACCAGTTCTCTTCCCCTTTTGAATGTACAACAACTTTCCATCTACTGTCAGATACCTGCCGCACAACCCACATCTTCTTGAAACTTAACCACAGGCTCTTTATAAATAAATAAGCACTAAACAATATTCAGCCATGTGGCCCTCATTTTTGTGGGACAATTGATTCCTAATCTAAATTTAGTAGTTTGACTTCTCCTGGAAGTCTAAGGAGGTGTCTGGGTTCACACATCAAGTTATAATATAGTTTGTTTAGTTTTGGTTTAGCATATTGTAAGAAACCTGATCTTGTGACTTTTAAACCAAAGTTTATGTGTGAATCCAACCAATTGTGGCTGATTTGGCAAATGAGATTAAGCAAACTATGGCTTAGCATTATGTATTAACTCAGCCATGATGCTGAATTGTTTCAGAGTCTTGAATGAATCTTTGGGTGAAAAAGACAAGTTTACAACCGGCCTGGTTCACATCAGCTTCAAGGATGCTTCCACATTCCTTTATATTTCAATCTTATTAAGGCGATCTCATTCATCTGAGGCCTCTAAAAACTTGTCTTTTTCACCCAAAGATATATTTTTCTCACAGAAGTATAAATCCATCTAGCTTCCCATGCTTGCTTTCTTCTTTTAAATTTCCTAGGATCTCTCCATTTTTAATTCTTTTTCTTAGAGTTGGCAAACTACTAGAGAAAAGCTTTTAACTAGTGCTCTATACCTGAACTACATGTGTACCCCTTACTGGATTCTAGAATCCTTAATAAATTGCTCAGCTAACTATTCAGATTTCTTATTTAGCATATTGTCCTCTAAAGATTTTACTTATTGTCAAAAGCTTGTAAAAAACAAAATAGCTCATACCTACAGAAGATTTTTAAGTGATGATGATAAATTCAAAAGGACACTTCTGTATGTTCCCCTTTGTCTAAACAAAATAAACATAGTTGCTGGATCTTTATTTTCTTTCTCCTGAAAACATTTACATCTAGCTATACTTCCTCTAGTGGAGTTTCTACCACCATGCATACTCATAATTTCCCCATGGCGCATAGCCTTTCAAAAACTGCCACATCCTTCCCTTATACTCACAGGTGCAATTCAAGGTGATTGTTATCATCTTTTTAAAATATATATAATTTTATTAAATATTTTTTAAAAGGAAAATAAAAACTAATACGAACTAACATAAAGTAAGAAAAAGAAAAGAAATACAAGAGAAAGCTAAAAGTGCAAGAAAAGAAAAAAAAGGAAAAGAAAAATAGAAAAGAAAGAAAAAAAAATACGAAGAAGTAGCTTCCGATCTTCTTTATAGCAGTTATAAGTACAATTATACATACTTTTTACTCTATGGTTATAACATAATCTCTTCTTTCTATAATCTATCCTATCTAATAATCAAAACCATAAATTATAACTTCATTTTTTTTTCTGCTTCACACAAAAAGTCCATAATGGTTTCCAGTCAGCAATAAATGTAGATATTGTCTTTTCTCTGATCAAAGAAGTCAATTT